TGAAGAACCTTGTCCTCGGAGTGAAGAACCTTGTCCTCAGAGTGAATTACCTTCTCCTCAGTGTTAAGAACCTTGTCCTCAGGGTGAAGAACCTTGTCCTCAGAGTGGAAAGCCTTGTCCTCAGGGTGAAGAACCTTGTCCTCGTAGTGAAGAACCTTGTCCTCAGAGTAAAGAACCTTGTCCTCAGTGGGAGGAACATTGTCCTCAGGGTGAAAAACCTTGTCCTCAGCGTGAAGAATCTTGTCCCCAGAAAGAAGAACCTTGTCCTCATAGTGAAGAACCTTGTCATGAGAGTGAGGAACCTTGTCCGCAGAGTGAAGAACCTTGTCCTCAGAGTGAAGAACCTTGTCCTCAGAGTGAAGAACCTTGACCTCAAACTGAGGAACCTTGTCCTCAGATATAAGAACCATGTCCTCAGATTGAAGAACCTTGTCCTCAGCGTGAAGAACCTTGTCGTCAGAGTGAAGAACCATGTCCTCAGTGTGAGGAAACTTGTCCGCACAGTGAAGAACCTTGTCCTCAGAGTGAAGAACCTTGTCGTCACAGTGAAGAACCTTGTCCTCACGGTGAGCAACCTTGTCCGCAGAGTGAATAACCCTGTCCTCAGAGTGAATTACCTTCTCCTCAGTGTTAAGAACCTTGTCCTCAGGGTGAAGAACCTTGTCCTCAGAGTGGAAAACCTTGTCCTCAGAGTGAAGAACCTTGTCCTCGTAGTGAAGAACCTTGTCCGCAGAGTAAAGAACCTTGTCCTCAGTGTGAGGAACATTGTCCTCAGGTTGAAAAACCCTGTCCTCAGCGTGAAGAATCTTGTCCTCAGAAAGAAGAACCTTGTCCTCATAGTGAAGAACCTTGTCATCAGAGTGAGGAACCTTGTCCGCAGAGTGAAGAACCTTGTCCTCAGAGTGAAGAACCTTGTCCTCAGAGTGAAGAACCTTGACCTCAAACTGAGGAACCTTGTCCTCAGATTGAAGAACCATGTCCTCAGATTGAAGAACCTTGTCCTCAGAGTGAAGAACCATGTCCTCAGAGTGAAGGACCTTGTCCACAAAGTGAGGAACCTTCTCCACAGTGTGAGGAACCTTGTCCTCAGAATGAAGAACCTTGTCCTCAGAGTAAAGAATCTTGTCCTCAGAGTGAAGAACCATGTCCTCAGAGTGAGGAACCTTGTCCGCAGAGTGAAGAACCTTGTCCTCAGATTGAAGAACGTTGTCCTCAGAGTTTCAATAACCTTGTCCTCAAAGTGAGGAACCTTGTTCACAGATAGAAGAACCTTGTCCTCAGAGTGAAGAACCTTGTCTTCAGAGTGAAGAACCTTGTCCTCAGAGTGAAGAACCTTGACCTCAGAGTGAAGAACCTTGTCCTCAGAGTGAAGAACCTTGTCCTCAGAGTGAAGAACCTTGTCCGCAGAGTGAAGAATCTTGTCCTCAGTGTGAGGAACATTGTCCTCAGGGTGAAAAACCTGGTTCTCAGCGTGAAGAACCTTGTCCTCAGAGTGAAGAACCTTGTCGTCACAGTGAAGAACCTTGTCCTCACAGTGAGCAACCTTGTCCGCAGAGTGAAGAACCCTGTCCTCAGAATTTCAATAACCTTGTCCTCAAGGTGAGGAACCTTGTTCACAGATTGAAGAACCTTGTCCTCAGAGTGAAGAACCTTGTCCTCAGAGTGAGGAACCTTGTCCGCAGAGTGAAGAACCTTGTCCTCAGAGTGAAGGACCTTGTCCTCAGAGTGAAGAACCTTGACCTCAAAATGAGGAACCTTGTCCACAGTGTGAGAAACCTTGTCCTCAGATTGTAGAACCTTGACCTCAGAGTCAAGAACCTTGCCCTCAGAGTGAAGAACCTTTGCTTCAGAGTGAAAAACCATGTCCTCAGAGTGAGGAACCTTGTCTGCAGAGTGAAGAACCTTGTCCTCAGAGTGAAGAACTTTGTCCTCAAAGTTTCAATAACCTTGTCATCAAAGTGAGGAAACTTGTCCTCAGATTGAAGAACCTTGTCCTCAGAGTGAAGAACCTTGTCCTCAGAGTGAAGAACCTTGTCCTCAGAGTGAAGAACCTTGTCCTCAGAGTGAAGAACCTTGTCCTCAGAGTGAAGAACCTTGTCCTCAGAGTGAGGAACCTTGTCCGCAGGGTGAAGAACCTTGTCCTCAGAGTGAAGAACCTTGTCCTCAGAGTGAAGAACCTTGACCTCAAAGTGAGGAACCTTGTCCACAGTGTGAGAAACCTTGTCTTCAGATTGAAGAACCTTGACCTCAGAGTGAATAACCTTGTCCTCAGAGTGAAGAACCTTGTCCTCAGAGTGAAGAACCATGTCCTCAGAGTGAGGACCCTTGTCTGCAGAGTGAAGAACCTTGTCGTCAGAGTGAAGAACGTTGTCCTCAGAGTTTCAATAACCTTGTCCTCAAAGTGAGGAAACTTGTCCTCAGATTGAAGAACCTTGTCCTCAGAGTGAAGAACCATGTCCTCAGAGTGAAAAACCTGGGGCGGATCCAGAACGATGCCAGCGATGCGAATGCATCGGTCAAAATTGAGAAATCATGATTCATGTTGCTTGAAATATATAGATATATAATACGCCAATAGTCAAAGCGCACAGTAATAAAATATCTTCCATCAACCCGCAAATCTTTGCTTAAAATTGACTCCATGTCAGGAATACACTATTTAGGATGAAATCCAATTTAAATAGTCTTAATAACAGTTGAAATTGTCAAAATAAGTCCAACATACGACGTTGCGAATTGCGATCGCAAATGTGTACTTTCTGTTGTTTTGCGACACTTAAGCGTAAATATTTTCGCGACAAAATATGTTATTTTCTTACCGCATCCTGACGTCACAGTTGAAGCAAAATGCATCACCTACTTCACGGTAGATTCGATTGGCACCATTTTGCATCAGTGAATGCATCGGTCCTCAGTCCTTTTCCGCGTGAAATGTAACGTGACATCATCAAATCTATTGCTTTAGAGCCCTACGTCACGTTAGGTTTGGCCCCTGGGCGATGCATCGCATGCAAATTGCGGGCGCTCGCATCAGTGCACTGATGCAAATTGCAAAATCAAATCTACTGTGACGTAACGAGGCATTCGATTCAGGACATGGCGGCAAGGATATTTGATCAATTTGGATATGCAAACACTATATGCAAATGGCAAATAATTCGAAGAGAAATCCCTCGAAATTGACGGAGAACATATAATTTACAATCGAACCAATTACTACCAAGTGGAACAATGGAAGGGATATCTTTAATATGCCCACGATGTGAAACTCGATCGAACTGAGGGCTCTAATATAAAGTAAGTTAAATTTCTCTATATTTTTACAAATGGTAGTAAATTACTAAATTGCTCAGTTCAAGAAGTGTGTAAAGTGGAAAATGGGGTCCTGCACAATTAATATAGATTTGTATGTAATAACAAAATAATTACAGTTTGTGTCTATTACTGTTGTTGCTTTATATTCCAGAAAGACGTTAGTGGTTGGGGGGGGGGGTAGATTTTGACATTTTACAGAGGTTTGCTTGTCTGGAGCCAAACTAGCCCCAATACAAACTTCACAGCTTGCTTTACTGAGGCAAATTTCATCTCTGTTTACATGGGATTATATCCTGTGCGCAGACCTTCATTTTTCTCACAGCTGGCGGGCAAAGAAAAATGAAGACCCGATCACATGTTATTATGTTTGTGTCCTACAACTGCCTTTATTGTTGTAACTCCGATTGGCTATTTCTAGCATGAGTATTCATGCCATATTTAATGTATTGTTTTGATAATTGGTTAATGCTATAATTAAATAATGATATATTTAGTGATTGTAACTATATTTAGCTTGTTGTTATTATGTGAAATTGACATTTCTTCTGGCACATTTTGATTGGATACCAAAAATAAAACTATAGTGTGGGTGGAAAGTAACTCTGAATGGATCAAGACTTGCATCAGTCTCTGTATGTAATTATACAGAGCATAATTGCAGGTTAATGAGATTTCCAATAGTAATTAATGCAACATTGGTTAGAAGACCAAGGGGGAGTTTACATGAAAGGTAATTGTTTCAAGTTGCAAGTTCCAGTGGTATCTCCTGTTTCATTTTATTTTCATTTTATATGGAAATGAGCTGGCATGCCTTGTGACAGGGTCTTTCTTTGCATTGCCTGAGTTATTGGGCAATTACTATACACTAGCTGGATATTTTTCAAACAAAGATGATTACCTGGGTTTGCTCGCCTACCATAGTTGAGTGTTTATATGCTTTGTCTGTGCAAATATAATTTGATATAAGCTGTATATATCATATGACATTCTCCTGACAGATTTAAACTTAGAATCAATGATAAAATGATGGACGGTATAAATACTGTATATACTGTAACTGGTGTATACAGGTTATAATTATGAAATTTGCTCACAAAAGTGGGATAGTTTGGAAAATATATTTAATTAAATTATATATTTGTAAATGCTAATTATCCCAGTATTATGTTTTGGATAGCCAGCATGCCACCCTGAGGATTACAATTACCATTGATAAGTGTATGGATTATTTGACAAGATAATATAGGGAAAATTAAATATTCATCAATACTACTGTGCAGCCTTTCTTAAAGGAGTACTGTATTAATATTAGTTGAAAGGCAGGCAAAAGGGGACAGATAGAAGACATATGATTAAATTATGTCATGTTTATCATTGTTTAAAAAACAGTTGGTATTGGTTTATTTAACAAACAATTTCCAATTAAGATAGCTTCATTAAATTAATTTGCACACAGTCTCTATTGATTTAAAACGTGTGTGTACCTAGTTATATATTTATATAATTTTAAACCCAGTGTTTGTTGTGTGTTAGTTTACTGGTTTCCTCGCCACAAGGCAATATTCTCAGTATTCAGAGTGTGGGCTATTCACCATGCAGTTCATCTGAAAGGCAGCTAGCCTAGGGGCAAATGAAATTGACCAGCTGATGCCAACCACACTGTCCATGCAGTGTAAGATTAGCAGCATATATTTACCCAGAGTTGCATATATTTACCCAGTAAAGCACAAAATACCTTTAATCTTTATGCACCATATGTTATTTTACTTTAAATTCTAATGCTAGAAGATTTTACTCATGGAACATTGGAAATTAATAGGGGAAGGTGGTTCATAAACAACATAATAACACTGTCTTCTGAGTCCAGCAATGCAACTAGTGGAGCACACTGTATGCACCTTTGTTACACAGTATGTGTGTATTTGCGTTGTCGTCATTTTCTGCCGAAATGTTTTTCAATGGAAAAGTAAAGGCTACAAGAAGCACAGTACTGACTATTTTTTAATAGAGACTTACACTTGTACAAGCAATTTTTTTTTCTTAGGTGGAGAAATAATTTTTTTTTTCCGTTATAGGTTCAAGTTTTTTACGTGTTTTTCCAAAAATGCAGCAAAATTTTTGTGACTCTGACATAGGAATTGCAACAAAAGGGTCCGCTCAGAACGCAGGAAATCGCATTTCGAGGTCCTAGATTTCAAAATTTCCCGGGGGAGGATAACCACGCACCCCCCTACAAATGCGACGTCTTATGTATGCATCAGTCAGCTCAGGAGCTGGATCC